ATATATGTGTGACCCAGGAAAAGAATCCCTGATTTTACAAATTTCCCTTTCTATCCCCTCAAAAGCCCTATAATTCCTCTCTTTACAGATTACCCAAAACATACAATCAAGAAAAAAAAAAGACCATGAAATACAGCCCTAGATCTGTATATAAAGCTAGTAAATGAACCTAACAACCAACAGAAAATGAGAGCACTACCTTCTCACTAGGTAAGCTGAATTTCTTGTTAAAACTTATAGTATCCATCCTGTTTGTTTGCCTTCGCTTCCTCATTGATACACTTCCATGAGAAGATCCATTACCACGAATCGACGGTCTCGTGAGATTGCTGCAACCTGATTCCTTCTTAGCATGGTTGAATTCATCGTCTACTATGCTACAACCCCAGGTGTACATGACATATTTTCTCAACTAGGTAGAAGAAGAATGTAAAAGCCAGTTTTAACAAAAGGAGATTTAAGCAGAAAAGAATAACCTCAAGAAAAATAAAGGTATTATCAACTTTCTCACATAAGAAAGCAATTACTTTAGCCCAGTGTTCTTGTGCTTTCCGACGATTTCTAATCTTTCTCAAAACACTATCTTCAATGCGGAGCTTTTTTATTCTGTATTCGCACTACAAAAACAAAGCAAGAGAGATGAATCCTGCTGGAGCAACAAGCAAGTTTGTTTAACAGAAGGAAATCAAAACCATCAATGAACTAACACAGCCAAATGCTAGCTGACCATTTAGGAAATAAGGGTCAATTTCACAAATATCTTAGTTTGGTAACTCAATTGAGAAGAGAAAAGGCTTCTTTTGATAATGGAGTTCCATAAGGAGAGTATGAACAAAGGCCCAGTCAGGTATTATCCTCCCTTTGCTCCGCCACAATCACCTTCCTCTCTGGTTTATAATTATGTCCATGGCATATTTAGTAATACCTCTATAAAGCAAATCTAGAGCCTGATTTGCAATGGTAATCAAAGAAGAAGGGGGTAAAAACGCCTTACTCTTACAAATATATCTCCACGACATTTGCATCACTGTCCCGCTCATCACCCCCCACCCCTACCTGGCATACAAAAAGCATCTAGCCCATATATTCCTCCAAATTTCGTCCACTTCAATGTTATTGATATAAAATGCATACTTTAAATATTTTAGATTTTGGAAACTAATACAGAAACACGTCTGATGGACTTTCCTAATTATTAAAACATGTAAAGGATAGAGCAATGGGGAAACTGAGATAAGTGAGACTTGGAAACACAGGAGAAGAAAAGACCACACACACTCACCTGCACCAAGAGGTAGAAAAATATGCCAATACTAATGCAATATAGACCACCAAGATCCGCGAGGAAGCTCACTACAAGGAAATAGAAGATAGCATTAAATCCTAGACTTTTTTATAGAAAAAAAAGGACATTAAATCCTAGACTATAAAATAACTGAGATTAAAAAAATTCTACTTAGTAGACATGATAGCTATACTAAAAATACTTCTCCAACACAATTGTATGAGTCATGCATTAATTGCTTTGTTAAGATCTGGAATCTAATCAGGTGTTACATGAAAAATATAAAAACTGTTTCAGCTAGAAGAAAATGAACAAAGCCAGTAAGATGGGGAGGGGGGGAACTTCTTTACCTCATTGTTCTCATTTTAGAATGCATGGCTCAGATTGACAGAAAAGTAGTTCCTAATTTTTGTTTCCTAAAGCCATATATGGTACACATATAAACAAAATTTATATGTCGTAATAAAGTATGTGTTTTATGTGATAGTAAAGTATAAACAAAATTTTTTTATAGAAACAGAAAAGTGTTTATTCTTTTTGAACCTGTAGCAGATTTTTATTATAACTTTCTAAAGATTGTTTTCATTTTCAATTACCAAATATTTGATTTATAAACATGAATGAATTTAAAATTGAGAACCAAAAAAGAAAGCATTGTCATGTACTAAAAGGTATCTTCCTTCTAGCTATAGTTAAATTAGAATTAAATTAATGCCTTATAACACATTTGTAATCTACCTTATAAAACAATCATTATTCAATTTTTTTGGAAATAAAGACAATCATTATTGAATATTGTCAGAAAAATGGAATGAAAATAATATTATTGGCTAAGAGACATGATGACACTT